AAGGGTTGTACTTACCGCGTTCCAGACCGAGGCCGGCTTCAAGCAAGCTAATCAATTCATCGAAATAACCGTTACGCTCGTACTGCTTGACAAGATCAGTGAGCTCCTCGGCGTGGACGATCAGGTTGAGACCACAGATCTGGGCAAGACGGAATTCCTTCTTTGCAACGCAAGCCTCGTTAACCTGCTTCCAGACTTTGATGGAGTTTGCCTTCCTAGCACATTCAACGGCAGCTTGGTAGTCTTCCAGATGTACGAGGGTGGTTGCAAGCTTGGCCCAGTTGGAGATGCTGGTGAAGAAAATTTTTGCTGCCTCATGGTAGCCCTCTTCATAAGCCTTGTCACCTGAGGCTTCGACATCGGCGACGTTGGTTGCACGGAGGAAGTCCTCGAGCTCGGCTAGCTGGTTGGTACGAGCGAAGCAGAAAGCCAAGGCGGTGTCAATGGGTACCTCACGAAGGGTCTTGCGAGCCATCCTCAAGAATTTGATCAAGTCCTCGTCTTTACCAGCATGTGTAGCAATCTCAATGACCTCCAAGTAGTTGGATGCGTCTCCGGCGCGGATGTAAGACTCAATCGAGTCTGTAACACGAAGGCCATCCAACTGTGCCTTGGCAACTCTGCTCCACACTTCTGGGGTGTCAACCCTATCAGCATACTCATATGCCCGATCGATTGAGACAATATGTTCAATGAGGACATTAGCAGCTTCAACGTGGTTTTCTTGCTTCTTGAAGATTTCGAAGGCTTCGTCATACATGCCAACCTCAATACACTGTTGAGCGATATCCTCAGGGGTATATTGGTCGAGCTGTTGGATGTAGTTCATGACTCTACCACGATCAGACTTGCAAGCGGTGAGCATCAGCAAGTTCTGGAGGGACGGGTTATCGCTGAAAGTAGAAGGCTCCAATATAATCTTCTCGAGCAAGTCGATGAGCTCAGCAGGCATGTCGCCAGTGATGAAGGCCTTGACAGCGACGGAAACCTTGTCTGGGTCGGTGGAGGAAGGAACAGCATACGAAGTGACTTGGTCAACGAGCGATCGGCGGTGCAAGTTGTTCGGGCTTAGAACGTAGTCCCAGACCTCAGAATCGGCGCGCTCCAAGAGGTAACGTGCTTGGGCCTTGAACATGGCGTTCTCGTTGGTGATGTTGATGAGCTCGAGATCATTCTGTCCCTTGCTGTAGGCAATGAACGCCAAGTTAGGATCACGCTTCTCGCAATACTTTCCAACAGTGAGGGTATCGTATTGGTCGTTCTCCTTCAAGAACTTCTCTGGGTTGTTGTTGGAGTCAATGTAGATCTTGGCCAAGGCGTTGTAGACAGCTTGTTGCTGGTTGCCGCTCGCCAATGTCTGCTCCAAAAATGGCAGAAGAAGCTTCAATCGGTTTCGCGATTCTACCTCGGCAACCAACTCGTCGATTGGAATCGAAGATGGCGTCACTGAAGCTAGAAGACCCTTGATGATGCTTTCGTCGCAATCCACATCAAGAAGACCGCCGATGACGGCAGGTGTCCTAGCAGGATTGACTCTCTGGACGTACACTTCGATAGACTTGAATTGCTGCTTCTTGTAGAGGTAGAGCACCAGGTCGTGTACAAAGTTGAAACGATCGCAAATGATGATGAGTGGCAATTGCTCCGTGAGGTTGGCTTCCTTCAAAAAGTTCTTGGTCTTCTCGGCAGGAATAACAGGACTCTCTCGGCAGATACGCTCGACTTCGTTAAGTTGGCCCATGGTCGTCGCCGCCTCGACGTACTTGAAGTGAACATCAGGGTCTTCGCTGACGTTGACAATGGAGCCTAGGAAGAAGTACAGACCTTCTGCGGTGCGATGCTTCTCAAGGAGATCAATGATCTTGGTAGCGCCGAGCAGATCTGAGTACTTCTGGGCAATACGAATGACGGCCTGCAAGTTTTGTCGAATGTTCGTGGTAAGCATAGCATCCAAGCACTCAAGCGAGAGCTCTACTGTGAGTTGACCAAAGTAGTTGATCAGCCATTCTTCTGGAAGCTTATCGGTTTGAACAATAATACGCCTAATGGCAGCCGGGTCGTCGTTGTGTTCCAAAGCGCGGGTGAGCAAGCCAGCGTTCTCGCAGAGCTGTGCAATGCGCGCCTTATCGTAATGGTGGAACATCTCATTGCCAAGAATAGCGTCTGCAACCTGGGGAGCATTGAGCAAGTTCATCTCGAGCAGCTTGGTTTGCATGTGGCCCTCTTCTGGTAGATCGTTGGAGAGAACGTCCAGAAGGAAGGCGGTCGCCTGTTGAATCATGCCCTGGGACTGGAAGATGTCGACAACGCGGTCGATGCTGATCAATGGGCCGCCTTCGTTCTTCGCTAGCTGGGAAGCAAACTCTGCGCCCTTTTCAGGCGAGATTCGGACCACTGCGGTATGTTAGTGGACTTCACGTCAAAGCTAGACGGATACAAGGACTGACCATGCTGAAGCAAGACGTTGTAATCAGGCGTGTAGCCGGCGCCGTTGCAGTATTGCAAGATCAGATCGTAGTGACCAAGCTCAGCGAGTGCTGCAACAACCTTTTGAGATACGTTCGCTTCCTTGTAAATGGCCAGCGCAAGGTTCAGATCATGGGGCTTCGCAAGATCACCGAGCTCCTCTGAGCAGTGGAGCTTGCCTTCCTTCTGCCACTTCTCAATGAGGTGCTTACGGCCCTGAGCGAAAACAGGACGAGCTAGCTCCAGAGTTTCTTCTCTGTTCAGTCCGCCCTTGTCCAGTAGTTGTCCGAAGTACTGCAGTAGAGTAGTGATCTGGCCAGGCTGGCTAGGAACCTGACGCAGCCTGTTGATTGTGTTCATTGTACGGAGGAAGCCCCGGGGCGAGTTCGCGGCGACCTTTGCTGCTTCAGCAAAGTTGCCCTGGGACATGAGCGTCTCGAACCGTTGCGAGTAGAGCTGGTCTGCGCCTGGAAGTCCGCCCTTTGAAGCAAGCTTGTAAGCAATCTCAGCACACGCTGGGTTCTCCATAATGTATGGAATCAGGCTGTCCTCCCGGATAGTTGTATGCAGAACTTGTCCTCGCTTGTTGATGACGACGACACCAGTGCCTTCATCGTCACGCGCCGTTGTAAAGACTGTTTCTTCAGATATCCGGTTCAGGAACAGTGCGGTACCTGTCTCGAGGTCGTGGAGGTGGATGAAACCGAACTTGGTAATTACGATTAGAATGCCGTACTTTTGCGCAATGTGGATGCCGAGCGGGAAGTCACCAGTTCCCTCGGCGGGCCAGTGGATTGGAATGAGACGCTTCGGGAAGGCTGGGTTTGCGGCGTTGTGGTCGACTTCAACGATGTTGATCTTGGCTTCGCCAGTCGACGACTTCACAGCGAAGGCGAAGATCTTTGTATCGGTAGATGCACCGTCAAGTCGGAGGGTACCAAAGGTAGCAGCATGGCCCTCGAGGGGCTGGCTGACGTTCCTCGCCTTGGAGAAGAGCTGCATGTTTCCACGAATGCCACCAGCGGGGTTCGATGTGATACCAACCAAGCAGGACCAGCTCTCGTCATCGTTGGTAACGTAGTTGATGATCTGATTGTTCTACACAGCGGATTAGATGCAGTTCGCTACAAACGGGCCACTGCATACCTCGAGTTGTTCTTGGCGATCAAAGATCTTGCGCGGCGCAACAGCGTTCTTCGAGTCCAGTACATCCCAGTGATATACAGCCTTTGTGCTGACGAGCGCAAGGGTAGTCTGGCTGATCCACCTCCAGAACTGAATGTCCTCCTGATGGCTGTAGGTCTGCAGGCGTTCCTTGGTCTCAAGGTTGAACAGCTGCAATGTCCGGCCTTGCGCCTTGAGAGCAATGATAGGCTCAGTCAAGTGCATAATAGCGCTGTCGGCGCGAATTGGTCTCCGGATGACATTGTTGGTGTTCTTGAGGTCGATGATGACGGTCTCGGCGGGCGCGTTGGCTTCGGTGTTGACCTGTCGCACGCAAACGTACTTGTCGGACTCGAGTGTCTAGGCCTTCTGTCAGCATATTTGCATCTCGTGCATACAATTGAGCAGGATAACATACGCAGTTCTGCCATGATATCGATGCTGGCTGGGCTGTGTGTTAGCTTGCTAACCCTTGTTGCCTTGTTCGCGGGCTGCGTGGCCTAGGACCAACGTACGAGAATGTTGAGGTTCGTGAGCTGCCAATTATTAGCTTTGATGACTATGCAATACCAGGATCTAGTGCGGTGCATACCAGCGTCGGCTGCGTGACGTGCAATGGCACCTGTCGCTGAGCCATGTTTGCGACAGTCCAGTTCCAAGCTCACCAGGGTGAGAAAGCGCGCAAGAATCGGGTATCGGAAGAAAAGGAAGAAGTAGACCCAGGTGCACAACTCCAGAAGCGCGTGATAGGAAATGAGAGACGGTCGTATAAGGCGGGGTCGGGGTCGTGTAGGTGATGCTGTTCAAGAAAGGAGCTCGTGTTGTTTCCACATACGCTGGATCGCCCTACATGACATAAGCACCCCGGGGCAGCTTTGACCAATCACGTTTGTTGCCGTTCTTGGTAGGGACTGATCTCACCTTCTACACCGACTCTGTGCAAGGTCCATCACGTTGAAACAGAGATCAAGATGGCTTTAGTACCAGGGTCTCAAGTTAAGCGTTTAGTTTGGTAGTCTGCACATCTGTACAATAGCAGGTCGTGAGTAGCAAGGCTCGGTGAGGTAGATCCGTACTTCCCCGGCATAAGTATCGAATCAGAACATCAAGACTGAACTGTTGTCTGTGTTCTCCCCAAAAGCTTTCGCACAATACACGTAGAGAAGGTTGAGATATTGGATACTTTCTTCCTTTTTACAGAATAAGACATTAAATTATACCCAAAGGCCGTACTTGTGCTCCCCGTACCCCTGTAGACTAGTACACATAACAACGTAATTCCAAATATAGCTCAACAGTACATGCTTCAGCTTAATCATAACATCATTCTGTCAGGAGCAACGCTCTCCCCCGAGGTATCGTTGCGAGGGCTACAGTCCCACTTCCTGAAACTTTGACTCTCGGTTTGGACTTCCTATCCTCGCTTTCTCTGCATCAGAGCCGAACGCTGGGGGTGGTGCTAGAGCTTCGTCGAAATGATCACGGGCTTCCTCAAAGCTCTCTCCCGCGGATGTCGCTGTTGCACCACTTACAACACGTTCTGCTGGTCTCCCACGTGCGACGCTGAATTCCTCTCCGTCGCTAGACAAGGATGAGACGTCTGAGTAGCGATCCTCGTCAACGTGGCCGACGTGAGGAACGTAAGTAGGCTCAACGGCGCCTAGATCCTTTGGTGGTTCGACATCAGCAGATGCGCGGCTGTCTATCGACTCGCGAGCTGGATGGATAGCGCTCTTCGAAGACTGAGATTGAGATTGGGGTTGTGAGGTGGAGTTCCGAAGAGTTGCACCGCCAACGAAGCCAGGTTCCTTTTCTTTCGTATTACCTTCAGTCTCTGTCCCAGGAGCATGCTTTGAGCGGCGCTTCAACTTGTTCAAGAGCGATTTGAACCCTTTCGAAGATCCTTGCGACGTGGGCGAAGTCGGGTCGGTTGGATTATGCTCAGCAGTACGTTGAGCTTCTGTAGGTGTAGGCGCTTGATACAGATCCTCGTTGTCACGCGGCGCTTCAGCATCTACGACTGCTGGCTCAGCCAGCGGAATCTCCTTGGACTTGCGTTGTTCGGCAATCTTGGTCTTCTCCGCTTCCTTTGCTTGTTTCGCAGCCAGTTTCTCTTCAGCAGCTTTCGCTTTGGCAGCCCTCTTCTCTTCTTCTGTTTGCACGTCAGTAGTTTGATGGATGACTCAACAAGAACAACTTACCCCTTCCTTGCCTCTCCTCAGCCTTGATCTCAGCAGCCCGCTCTTTCTCGGTACGAATACGGCGCTTCTCCTGCTCCTGATCGAGTCGGCGCTCTTCTTCCTCAGCACGCCGCTTCTCGTCCTCAGCGAGGCGCTTTTCGGTCTTCTCGGTGATTTCGTCTAAAGTAGGCTGAATTCTGGCCTGAGCGATAGCGTCGATTTCGCCTTGATCCATCCATTTGCCATTACCGATATGCACCCTACCGTGGTTCTCCATGCGAGCCTCAGAGTTCGCTAAGGCACGCTGCCTCGCCTTCTCATCCCAATCGTCCACCATGGCAGACGACATCTTGCCTGTTTCGTCATAGATTTTCTTGTCCATGCCCTGCATCTGCGCTTGAACCTTGCGCTGCGCGGCAGCAAGCAAGGATTTGCGATCATTTTCGCGTTTCTTCGCGTCCACGTCAGCCAGTTGCTTGTTGAGCTGATCCATCTGCGAACGAATTCGCCTCGAACGAAAGTCGTCTTCGTCAGAGTCCGAAGTGTCCGCAGGGGCTGTCTCAGAAGCACTGTGGGCGCGATTACGTCCACGACGCATGGAGAGTTTCGACCTGGTTGGCTGGTCGTAGCCGTAGTAGCTTCGGTAGGCGGCGTTCTCGTCATACCCTATCTTTGCCAGTCTTTCTTGAGCAAGCTTTTGTGCAGCTTCTTGGATCCCGATGTAGCGCATAGCTTGCTGCTTGATGTCAGCCTCACCAGTCGCTGGCTGCTGACTGTGTGCTGCAGTCGCTCCAGTGCGGGCGACAGACTGGCCCGTTGCGCCATCGATGTGTTGCTGTTGCACATCGTAGATCTTTTTAGCCATAGATATGGCAGAAGCTCGGAGAGCGTCGTTGTGCCTCTTCTCCTCTGTCTCTAGCGCAACAGGCGGAGTGCTGGTGTACATGTCGCGCGATATGCTCTTTGCATGCTGAATGCGTGCAGCTTCCATAGCACCATGTCCGCGGTGGTTGGAATCAGCAGGACTAGCTTGTGGTCTGGCTCGAGTGGACGCACTATGAGCGAGTGTTGCTGCGCCTAATGCATTCCTGGCCGAATTCTTCGAGTCTGGATACAGGGGCGCAGCTGGTGGGTTTGACTGAGCGCGCTTACGCCTCGATGCAGAGTGCGCATCGGTAGCCGCAGTGAAGGCGTTCTTCCTGCCCTGATCGGTGTATCCATAGTCGACCTCTGGGCCGAGCCCCTTCTTGCTCATAGCGATGGTAGCAGCAGAATGACCTTCAGCACTGGCTTCCGGGTGCCACAGGTTCAGCTTTGCGCCGTCTCTATGGGCGAGAAGCGCTGCTTTTGAGCCTGCCGCGCTTGCTTCTGGTTGCCACATGGGAGCCATCTTATAACCGTTTGCGAGCAACGCAGCCTTGCCTGCGGCGGAGGATGCTTCGGGCTTCCACCACTCCGGGCTCTTCTTGTTCTGGTTCGCGAGCAGCGCGGCAGCTCCGGCAGAAGATTGAGTGTCGATTCCAACGACGGGATAGCTGGGAAGGTCTTGGGCCTTTGCGTATTTGAGACTTGCAGCAGCGCCTACGCATGTTTGTTAGCATATGATGTAATTAGGTCATCACAACTCCGCACTCACTCGCTGATGAGAGCTTGCCGTCGGCTCCGAGCGGGTTGATGGGTTTCGCTACGTTTGCTTTAGTCGAGCCACCGTGGTTATGGGAATATAGCGCTGCTGCAGACGCCTGATTTTGCAATGCGCTGTTCTTTGACTGATGCGAATGCGCGGATGGGTCAGGGCAACGCATGTTCGTCTCGGCAGAGGATCGTGGTGGAGCCGCCTCTTCCGTCCCCTTCAAGGGTCTGCTGTCAGCAGTGGGGGGCGCACTCGCGGCAAGGGCTGTCGTCGCCATTGTGAGATAGCGTGTGGGTGCAAGGTGCAATCGAACCAAGCGCTACTTTGAGGGTGATCACAAGAGTCAAGAGGGAAAGGCAACCGCCAGCGAGGGAATCAGACTGTGGCGCCCTTCATGGCTAAATGGCGAGAAGGTAGCAATGATGTCATATAGCTGTGATCGCCGTGAACGAGCGTGCGTTCCGCGTGGAAAATCTCAGCCTTACCCTCTTGGGTCTGGTTCTAGCCTCCGCCAGACCATGACCTTGCCTTTCCAGACGGAAGCAATGCGACGGACTGACCGAAGTGGTCAAATCACGTATCAAGTGCGTCCAGGAGGGCCCAACCTGTCTATCCGCACCCTTGCGCACATCTGAAGATCACAGACCTGCGTCGTGCGAACAAAACAATCAAACACATCGTTTAGGATACAACGTTACGCCGTGGCATGGTGGAACACGATAGCCAAGTTCCAGTGTCTGTACTGTACGCCTGCGAGATCAACAAACTTTTATGGACTGCAACCTGTTGGAATGCGGTGAACATAGTAGCGTAGTTTAAGATCTCAGAGCTACAAACGATTATGGCGCGTTTTTATCCTGATTATTGTCGTGATGCCCGAGCACCTCTACTGGTGGGTGTTTGGCTTCAGAAGCAAAGTTGCCGGTTGGATTAGATGCGGTTAGTGCCAACTTAACTACGTCACCAGATCTCGACATTTCGCCCTGATTCAGCAAATAACTATACCACCAATTTTAGCCTCGTAAGGTTGAGCGTAGTAAACATGACTGAACTACAAACGCCACTGAAAAGCATATTAAACTTCCGCGATGTCAGTGAATTTGTCAACCAGACGACAGGAACTCGGTATTTCACTAAAGCACGGCGAAGTGGATCTTTGGCTGACCATGCTGCAGCCATCTAAGGAACGGTTTACTGTTCCGAAGCGCCCGACCTGGTGCGTATCTTACACACGTATCTTGGCGCGAGGCTGACTCTAGGAGATGAGGCTTCTTTCCGAGACAGGCAGAGACTCTTGAAAGAGTTCGGCGTGAAGAGCATTATTGATCTACGAACAAAGTACGTAGATACAAGTGGCCGGAGCCGATATCGTACTGATCAGCACAGAACGGAGCACATTGAACAGGCGCAAAAGCATGATACAAGAATCAAAGCATCAGCGGCAATTCCTCAGAGCAACGACGATGTAGCAGAGCCCCTCAAAATACCCGGCATAACCTATCACGAAATCAACTTTAATGGCTCGGCCTTCTCGCGCATGTTGCTCTCGAAGCTTACATGGCTCGAGTTTTTCAGGCTGGCGGGACTTATGATTGTCGGCTACCGCAAGGATGCTATCAAGATTTTAGCTCCTCATATGGAAGACATGGGGCTTGTCGGTCTGGCCGAGCAATCCCTAGACGTATGCACACGAGAAGTCAGGCAGGTCTTCGATGTGTTGGGAGAAGAGCAGAATTGGCCAGTTCTAGTCCACTGTACACAGGGCAAGGACCGGACCGGGCTCATAGTTATGCTGGTCCTCTTGCTGCTCGGTGTCGACCAGAAGACGATCGACGACGACTACCGACTGTCCGAGCCAGAACTGGAGCCAGAGAAAGAAGGAAGGCTGAAAGAGATGGCATCTATTGGTCTGACAGAACAATTTGCAATCTGCCCTCCAGACTTGGTGAGCAGTATACACTCGTATCTACTGGAAAAGTACGGCAGCGTTGAGGGGTACCTGGAGAAAGCCGGTGTTGCCAAGGAGCAGGTGGACTTTGTCAGGGGGAAGCTACTAGTAAACGTGTCTTGAGCGTGCCCCGCCTATGTTTGTGAACATGGCTTGGCAGAATCTGAAAATTGTCCCTACCTGTACGGGGTTGAAAGATAGATTATTGATGGAAGAAGCGTGTATGGACCATACGCGTATACCACCGAAGAAAGAGCGAGTGCACATGCTGTATATAGAGGCTGGAGACTGTATTCCATATCCAAGCGTACTGAGTTGGAGATATTGCAAGTTTGTTCACGCCCCATAATCCTTATCACCAGCAGAGTTGTGCTAGCAATACTGCAACGTATGTCGCGCACATCCATGGGAGTCGCCGTCGGTGTGCTGTTAAATGTTTGGAGCTAGTCGACCATCTGCAGGGGCAAGCGCAACCCCGGTGGGTGTTCGCTTAGATTCACCGCCGTTAAAGCCTCCCAGATCCCAACACGTTTGCTTCCCATCTTGCAAAATTGCTCAGCAGTGCGCAAGATGAGCAGCAATACCTCTGAGGAGAACTTTGAGTGGGTTGAGACGCCACCGGCGCCCTCGCCCACGACGCCCGCCTTCGACTGCGGTGTCAAGACAACTTCGGTAAGTTGTTGCATCTGGACAGTTTAACGAGCGACCCCGCCAGCCATTGAGCATCAACACAAAGAGTTAGCACGCTGACGTCCCATGTCTGACAGTACCCGACCATTGCGAATGCTCCCCTGCCCGCTGAAGGTTCCGGTCGTGACTCGTTCAACAACTATGCCCTCATCTCGCTGCTGGTGGGCATCCCCGCCTACATCACCTGGAGCTGGGGTATGGGCTTCAAAACATGGGTTTTCCTAGCCCTCGTTCTGTTCCTCCCTATTCTAGGACCCTTCTGGTGGCTCACCTCTGAATTTGCACCCCGCAAGAACGAGAAGGCCAAACTTCCCGGCAAGCCCATTGAGCACTACCTTAAGTTCACCAAGCCCGAGGACCGCGACGCATACTATGGCAAGAAGCAGATCCCCATCGAGACGTTCCAGGAGAAGTACTTCGACGGCGAGGTAGAGCTCAATGGCGACATGCTCGAGATTCTCGAATGGCGCCACGACTGGTCCAAGCCCCGCTTCACTCTCGGATTGATCAAGCACTTCCTCTTCGGCATGATCCCAGAAATGATTGTCCACTCCAAGTCTCAGGGTTGGTGCTCCCATCATCCGCAAACTATATACATGCTGACCCGACATCAGACGAGGAACAGGTCCGCGACCACTACGACCGCGGTGACGACTTCTACGGCTGGTTCCTCGGTCCCCGCATGATCTACACCTCCGGTATCATCTCCGACATCAACACTGAGGAGAGTCTCGAACAGCTACAGGACAACAAGATGTCAGTCGTCTGTGAAAAGATCGGACTGAAGAAGGGCGAGAAGATGCTCGATATTGGTTGCGGATGGGGTACCCTTACCAAGTTTGCCTCGGTGAACTACGGTGCCCACGCTACTGGTGTTACTCTCGGTCGCAACCAGACTGCTTGGGGCAACAACGGCCTCAGGAAGGCTGGTATCGAAGAAGACCAATCCAAGATTCTCTGCATGGACTACCGCGACATCCCTCTCCCTCCTGGTGGCTACAACAAGATCACCTGTCTCGAGATGGCTGAGCACGTTGGTGTCCGCCACTTGAGCGGCTTCTTCCGTCAGGTCTATGATATGCTCGATGATGACGGTGTCTTCTTCCTTCAGATTGCTGGTCTCCGTAAGGCTTGGCAATTCGAGGACTTCACCTGGGGTCTTTTCATGAACAAATACGTCTTCCCTGGCGCCGACGCTTCTACTCCTCTGGGTTTCGTCATCGACACCCTCGAGGGTGCTGGTTTTGAGGTCAAGATGGTTGACACCATCGGTGTACACTACTCTGCCACTCTCTGGAGGTGGTACCGCAACTGGCTCGCCAACAAGGAGAAGGTTGTTGCCAAGTACGGAATCCGATGGTTCAAGGTAAGAACAACTTTCTTGTCCTTTTGTTGCTAGGTGCTAACCACCCGCCAGATCTGGGAATACTTCCTCGCCTACTCTACGATTGCCTCCCGCCAGGGATCTGCCACTTGCTTCCAGATTACTTGCGTCAAGAACCTTAACGCTGTCCACCGCATTGACGGTATCAACACCCAGTTCAGTCTGTCCGCTGCTCTTGCTGCTAGCAGAGCCAAGCTTTCTAAGGCGCAGTAAGCTTCCTGTAGAAAGATGTTTCCCGTGTATCACTTAGCATTGAATGCGAGATTGAACCAGAGAAAGCACGGAAGATGGTATTCGAAATCTACAAGGGAGAGACGTGGGGCTCCGAGCCAGGGAATAGAGTAGGAACGTATTCTCTCTAAGTTGGAGTCATAAGTGGCGTCAGCCGTTGATCTTATACAGCCTACAGTGGCTTGCAAAGCATTGATGATTATGAGATAAAGGACATGTATGAAGAGATGATGTATCCGAGAAAGCATGGAAGAATCTTACGCGTCTCTCCAACCTGTACATGCAGTGTGCTCAAGGAACAGTCCAAGTGCAAGGGAGATTTTATTCTGTACTGGATGGAAGTCTCGAGTAAGAGTCTTTGTAGTCGCTTTTCGAAGGTGCCAACCGTGCCCACTTGCTCATGTTCTCCACTCGGGTCTGCATGCTTTCCCCACGATGCCTTTAACTTGACTCATAGTCCCCACTATGTACCGCTGCCCACAACCGAATTCACTGATCAAATTTCTCTACGTTGCCGGACATAACTTACCAGAAAATTAAGCGCTAATGAGATTTCCTTTATTTGTAATAACTATATATACGTAGTAAATTCAAAATTTTTCATCAAAACAAATCACTAAGGGTAAGCATCGATACCTCCATACCGACTACACACCAGCTAACAGCCCTATCGTGGTATGGTCTAGTGGTATGACGTCGCGTTGTGGCTGGCGGACAACTTAGCTTGTCCTGATCCAGATCCGCGCCAGCCTGGGTTCGAGTACGTTCCCCTACATTGAGTCGGTTTACTGAGACATTGTTACTAACATGTCTATAGTTCCCAGTACCGCCAATTTGCGACACATCTTTTTTGCTTCCGTGTGTATCTTACGGGTTACGTGGTAAAAGATGGTTGTTTTTGCTTCCGGTTTTCTTCGCTGATATGATTAAAAGGCGGTTTTGGGGTGCCTCTTTTGCGGTTATATCTCTCCTGCAGTGCGAGTACGGAAAGAAATGTGATCACTTACAATAAAGAGAGCGTTGGACGCACAGAATTTCTCCTACTACACTGCAGTCCATAACGATACATTATCCTTACATGTTGGAGGTTTCTGTACTTATACAGACTTCTAGATCGACGATTCGCCTACATGACTACGCAGTTCGAGTTAGCATAGTAGTCTAGAGAGAGGGCCGACATTCAATTCTTTCCGTGGTTGGAGTCATACCAACGGTTAGCATATGCCAATGAGGAATGAAACCGGAATCCAGAGATGTCCAACATAGGATCAATAGCTTTCATTTTGACCGGACGCCCCAAACCGTCCGCAAAACCTATCCGACAAGGCAGCACCGTAGTTGTGCAACAGTATCCAATATAATCCCTCAATTATCTATAATTTTCAACCAAGGAACATCACCTCTTCCACCCACTCTCTTCCAGCACAGCCAGCCTCCTGCCTATACTCCCAAAGCAAACACAACTACAAAACAGGACACTGCCAACCCATGTAACGACAGCTAGGTTCTCGTAGCTGACCATACCAGCAAACAGTTCTGGTGTAACAACTGGAGCTGGCCTTCCTTTTGTGTGCGTATGGCTGCCAATGGATGGGACTTGCGTGGCGTTTGTGGTGGATGGTAATGACGGCGAGGGAAGAACATCTGGATTGGATAGGAATATGAAAGAGGTAAGAATCGACGTGACGGTGAGTGAGACGGAAAGGCCGGGTTTCGAGCGATCGAGTATATACCATAGGGCGGGGTTCACGAGGGCCAGAGTCAAGGTCAGTTGGAGGGTTGATTGCCAGGGGAGACGACGCTGGGAAGAGTCGCGTTAGTCCATGTCCATGTATCACAAAGCATAGAAGGAGTCGGTCGGTGGAGACTTACAATGGCAAATGCAATCCCTACAAAGGCTGCCACACTCCTCACCACATCGTTGATCTGCTCACTAATGGGTGAATCATGTGTCTCTGCCCCCTTGTCTTCCATCTGGCTCTCTTTCCGCTGCGCATCCCACAAGAGATCAACGTATGGTAGCAAGCTTCCTAGAGCAACTCCGAATAGCCCCCAGGAGACAAGGTATGCCTGACTCTTGCGATCGACGCCTTCAACATGTACAGCTGCCAGTTGCCTCGTCTCGTGAAGATGCGAGACAATGACTCCGTAGATGACACCGAAGACGTACAACGCTACAAGCTTTCCTGCAATCACAGAGTATTTCCGTACACCGCGGCGCGGCTGTTTGATTGAGCGACTCCTTTGCCGTCCTTCAGCTTTGCCCATATTTGACCCGTTCCTGGCCTGGTTCTTCAAGGCCATTCCGCCATCAGGGCTTCCCATACTGGTTTCCCAGGATTGGAGGCCCATGGCTGAGTGTGCGGGTGTCTCGGCACCAGTTCCCCATGGCGTTTCCGCCGTGCTCAACTCGCCAGCTGTGTTCACACCCGTCTCGTCGTATATTCCGGAGAGAGTGCTACTCGTCATGTTCAAGTAACTCTTGTTCCGCTGCGGAGGGCCCCTGTCTCTCTCCTGATCGTCCGAGTCGTCATCGCGAGAGTTGAATGTTCCCAGCAAGCGAGCGTTCAGCTGAGCGAGGAAGTCGGATGATCTCCGATTCTCGGTCGCGCTTGGAGGCGTGGATTGCGAGAAGGCGTGTGTGGGCGAATCGGCCGTGTCGTAGTTGGATTCGAAGTTGCGACGCGGGATGGGGCGGTAGATATGCAGCGGAGGTGGTGCCGCGTTCGCCTTCGAAGGGTCTTCTTCCATAGCCGTCGCGCTCCAGTTCCGACGCGGGCAGGGTTCCGCAAACTTTGTTGTGATGTGTGCAGATGCAATCGAGGCTTGCAGTTACAATAAAGGATAAAGGTAATATGAACAGCGAGCGTCAAGAAGCAAAAAGAAAAAGATACGAGCTATGGTTCGCAGCACAAACAGAGCCGCGTATTCGTATAATTGTTGCGTTGTTTGGAATGGAACGTAAGTTGAACTCTAACCCCGAGTCAGTGCACGTGAACATGTGCTCGGCCTTATACAGGCATAATTACTGGAGCCTCGCAAACATACCTCGTATAGGCAATCAAATTAAATACTGTGAGCGGAGAAGTCGTACGAACGTGCAGTGAGGGGACCATGAGGCACATGTAGGCTAGCACGCTGATCTGACGCTGTTAGGCCATGCTCCCGCATATGTCACTGAGAATGGCTTTCATGTGAAAATCGGCCAACTTTCCGCCTGTGGATCCGCTGTCATCCGCATTCTCAACACTTCTGGTGGATCGATCATGTTTCATTATATGCGGCTACCCTGAGCTGGAGAACGTACTGATACACAAGACGCTCGCTCTCGAGTGACGCTAGACCTCTGCTGTTGTGGCTTCTAGATGTTGTCCAAACACAGCTGCGAGAAAACCCACTTTTGATGCCTTTCTCCAAGCACAACCGACTCCGGCAGGAAATGCTGAGGAACCAAATGCACATGTTTTGCCATCGTACGCCCCACGTCTACGTCGTCCCGTCATAAAGTTAGTCGTTCCACTCCTTGTGAGCTACCCCACTACTCTGTACCCCCGCTCAGTCGACAATGGGTTGGAGGATGTTACCGCTAAAAACTTGTAAGCTTGTGGACGCAACTAGATGTGCCGTGAAACTTACGCTACAATGTTGGCCCAACCGATAAGACGCCAGTGCTTCTCAATACGTCGAGACAGCGCGACCTTCTCACCGATCTCTGTGCATGCAGGCGAGGTGAGCGATAGACGAGCAGCGTCAGCCTTGACAGCCACAACCTTGGCACCGGTAGCAGTTGATCCGATGTTGACCATCTTTGCGATTGTTAGCCAGATTCTGAACACAGACTAAATCGAGACCTACCAAAACTTCATTCTTTGCAAGCTTGGCTACCTTGGCCTGCTTGCCGTCTGCAGTCTTGACACCAAGCAATCTTCGGAGAAGGAAGTAGTTGACTTCGAGCTCAGTGTAGATGTTAGGAAGATGTCCACGGAGACCAAGAACGAAACCGACGAGACGATCCGCACGACACAGAGTAGGGTCAACGCGTGTACCGACACCTACAACATGTTAATTAAGGACTTCATGATGCTGCAACAAAGATTACTTACCAATCAGTCCTCCTGGAACAGCGAACTTCAAGTCGTTGTGCTCAGCGAATAAAGACACTACTCTTGAGAAAATGGGCTTGCACTGAATCTTTCCGGCGCTGTCCTTTGAGACGATACCGGGCCTGATCTCAATCTCGTCTCCCAGCTTTAGTACACCAGTCAGGATACTGCCACCAGCAACACCACCCTTGAGCTCATCGATTTCAGCACCAGGCTTGTTGACGTCGAAGGATCGAATGACAATCATGTGTGGCTTCGCAGTAAAGTCTCGTACTGGAACGGGGATCTTGCTAATGAGGTGCTCGTTGATAGCATCAATGTTGAACTTGAGCTGGGCGGAGATGGGAATAATGGGTGAGCCATCGGCAACGGTTCCTCGGATGAACTTCAGGATAGACTCGTAATGCGACGCAGCGCTGTCTTCCCGCATCAGATCGACCTTGTTTTGGAGGATGATGATGTGGTTCAGCTTCATGATCTCGATGGCAGCAAGATGTTCACTGGTTTGCGGCTGCGGGCAAGATTCGTTTCCAGCGATCAGAAGCAGTGCAGCGTCCATGACGGCAGCACCTGACAACATAGTGCTCATGAGAATGTCGTGGCCAGGGCAGTCGACGAAAGAGACGTGGCGCTTCAGTCTGTATTTGCCCTCACATCCTTCACGTTCGCAAGCTGGGTCGACCTCCTTGTCGCTCTTGTATGACCTGTAGCATGTTGGGCGCGGGCACTCTGGGTTGTCGCATTGGTAGATCTTCGCGTTGGCATAACCGAGCTTGATGGTAATATTCCTCTCTAGTTCGTTCTTGAAACGGACGGTCTGCACACCGGAGATGGCTTTCACCACAGTACTTTTTCCGTGAGCGACGTGACCAATGGTTCCGATGTTGATGGTAGCTTGGCGGGAGATGATCTCAGGCGACAGCGGGTTGAGCGTAGTGAGGTCAAGTGTGCTTGGGTCTGGTTGTTCGCTTGTGCGCGTTAGCTATCTGGCGCAGAGCCTCATATGTTCAACACGTACGGAAGCTCTGGGCGTTGCACGGGCGCCACTGGCTCCCGGCCCTTCTTCAACGCGGACTTTGGCTTCGTGTCCTCGATGTCCTCCTGCTCAGACACGCTCTCGTCATCGCGGTGGTCGTGGTCGGACTCGGACTCCATGGTGGGCAATTTGTTCCGAGGGTTGGCTATTCGGGGGATGGTTGGATTGTAAGTGTGGGTGGTTGTCGAAAGACTGGATTCGTCTATCGTAGTGTTGCCTTTGTGGAGACTGGCGGCAGGCAACTTTCGACTTCAAATCCCACACAAAGTGACTCAAACCCAGATTCGGAACAGCCCACTTGTGGCGGGGCTGCGCACGGCGTCCAAGCGCCCACGGCGAAAGGTTCCGCCGGTCTGCTGAACAAAATCTCTTCCACCGCCGGCCCTGGCTTTCCTCTTCATTGAACAACGCAAAAAATTTGCACACTCACGAAAAGCATTTTCTTTGGAGAGACCCGTCGTCTACGGACGGTGTGAGGTTTCCATGAGAACGAAAACCGTCTGTGAAGTGGAGAGGAATACTTTGGCTGATCTTGGGTGCGGTTTCTCCCTGCTTTTGCAGTGGGAGAGAGCGCAATGATTGGTCGTACATTACATGTTTACGTGATGTTTTTTTTCGTGTGCTGCAACGCTGGCTTGACGATATTCGTTGAGAGCAAAAGTCGAGGGCGCTTCCCGTGTTCATGTCTTGGTTGCGTCCCTAGAATGTCACAGTACACGGTATTGTGCTGACATTGCGCCCTCTCAGTAACCTAGCTGTTAATGACTGTCTACACGGCATGGTTAAATTACAAGCAGCTCAGTTAGGTTGGAGCCGCAATATCCTCTTCAGGGATACATGCACGCTTATCGCATGTTAAAAGGAAGCAACTGAACACCTTACGCAAGCTCTTCTACCACAAAGCTGTGCTCAAGAGCACATGGCAGAACTCCTAGAAACGCTCTTATTAATAAGGACGCCCAAATCATGGATGTTGCATAGAACACTTGTGTTACCCCTTTCTAGCAGGCTAAAGAAGAACATTATTCGTAGTTGTTCGATTGTTTCCTTAAAGAGGGTCCTCTGGCCAGTGGAACCAGGGACAGTTTTTCTTCCATCGATGGATACATATTTATTACGCTGACACTCTACAAAGTAACATCCCAAAGATGCGAAACTTGAATTAGCAACTATCTGCAACAAGCCTGCCACCTAAAACAAGTGGATCACGTATCTTATCGGAGCATTTATGTTCTTTTTGATGTACTCATAGCTATCTTGTACTCTTGGCGCCGCGAGCATCTCGAACCCCACCACCACTTCTCGTTGAGCTGGCTATGCATACGTAAAAATACAACGTCAATCGCGTGGGTCTTTTAACCATCGCGTCTCTAAGTTGAGGCTTCTGTCTTATTGTTATAACTCACCCTTCGGAAGTCGGGTGTGGATGGATCCACGCTCTTCTGTTTGGGACTAGCTTCCTTTGTGCCACGTGGAAACCCCATCATCATGGTCATCATACCTGACTCTGAATACCATTGAAGAATGGCAATGGAACAAAGATGCACATGGAACGATCTTAGGTCAGCTGCGTTTACAGATCTACCTACCCCTGGATACGTAAAACACGGCTATCCTTGGAAGGAAGTTTAGCACGACCCGCTAGTGCTGGTAGAGGCTACGGGCTGGGGAAGCGGGATGCTATCATCCCATACCCTTCAAGAAGCACGGATGGATAAGCAGGCCGCGAGAGAGCATGCGGATCATCGAACCTTGGCCCAAAGTACCAAGGCGGCATACATTGCACACACTGAGCATACCGACATGTGTCTGCTGGCTGCAAAGGCCAGACCGTCGCCGCGTGCCGCCCCATCAAGAGCGGCGCCGGTATCCCGCTTCCTAGCTGCATGTTAACGACGGAGTTTAGATGGACCGTGTGGGCTCCAGTTGTTGATCTGACACAGACAGTTCAGAACCTCTCACAAGCGCGCCGTATCGGGAACCAGTCCGCTTGCTTTTCAGGCTGAAACATATCAACTCGTCGACTCGGGGCACCACTGGCCTCGACACCGTCATTGGCCCAGACGCCTTGTAATCGAGAGCAGCCGAGTGTGAGTTGGCAACCCTTGTTGGTCGAGATTGGACCACCTCTTCCTACGACGTTGGCGCTGCCTTGCTTTTGCGCCCTTGCGCTCGCCGACTATGGGATATGGATTCTGATCAAGCGCATGAATATGCATTCGACCCTGGCCTCTCTGTTTCACACTGGCTGCAGTCGACTGAGCTCGACCATGCCGACCAAGAGCTGGGAACCTCGCCCGAGCACTACTACTCCGCCTATACTACGACCGAGCACACAGCACCTCCCTCACCGCAACGCGGCATCGACATGCCCGCAGCGCGGCCGCGGCAGCCCATGACGAACGGTGCGCGCACAACACCCAAAGCGACCCCGAGGTCTGCTTCTGGTCCTGCATCGCCGCCCGCAGCAACTCGCTCATCCCCCCAGGTTTCCAACAAGGTCCGGGCCCTGGCAGAGCGATTTGAGCAGTCGCCCGGAGGCAGCTCGACGGCCTCTTCGCCTGCAGTGCGCTCGAGATCTAGGACACCGAGCCGGGCTGGGGCACACGACT